GGTATTAAGTAAGGTTCAAATGATTCTCCCAACGGAATTTTATTTGTGTTGGATAGTTTGTTCTGGTTAATGTTGACGAGTGATAATGTGTTTTGAAAGGAATGTAGATATTTATTGTAATTCGTCGGGGTAATTTTTTTACGGCAAAGGGTAGTAGTGGTGCGAGATGTCTGGGTTTAATTGGTAACTATATGTGTAATATGAGTACTGAAGTATTTGTTGTTTGCAGCAATAATATATGTATAAATGAATAAATAAATATATACCTGGATTGGGAAATATATAAAGCAAATGAGTAGTTCCTTTAAAAGTAGATGACTAGGGTCTACAATCTAGCAAGCAAGTGCTGTAAAAGGTATTAACGAGAAACGGACACAAAAGGAATTATATAAACAATTTCACTTGCTGATTAAACTTTCGAATTCGTGTAGATCAACTTTGAAATATATTCAGTAACTTCACTGTTCAGCTTCAGTACTGTCCAAAATCACCGATACCACTCATCATGTCGAAGCTTCTTCAAATCTAATGTTGATGTGGTCCCAACACAATGCCTGTCTAGCACATAATGCAATTGTTGCAGGTAATGTGTTTGGGTGGAGTACACTGTAGTCATTGAATTGGCCGTGGTAAACCAAGAGCTTGCTTTGCTCGTTTCCCTATGCTCAGGCTGTTTACCGAGATATTACAGCACTCTGGAAAATACGGAACGACGAATTATTAGCTTAAATCTGCCCTGAGTATAAAATTGGACACATCTAAAATATAAAGAGTGAGGCGAAAATCTGCGGTGAAAGCAAGATCAAGATGATTGTCGACGCAAAAATCAGTCGAGAGTTTTCGGCTAAGTGTAATTTAACGTGACAATTCATTTTGAAAGTATTAGAATAGAAAATTCATCGATCCTGTCAGTTTTAATGACAGTAGACAATATGCCTGCTTGTTACTTCACTACGTTTGCTCGCAAGGGAATCATGGGATATCCGCCAGTTTCTATGAAAATTCGATAGAAAGCTGTTACCGAAATATTCATTGTATGTTAGTCTGTCCATCATCATTCACTATTGAAGAGTTGAGATTTTAGACACTGAGAGTTTAGACTCTTGAGACATCCAATAAAAATTTCGAAAACGAAAGATAGGCATGTTAAGTAATAGTTCCGATACACGTGAAATTCATTACTAAAGAAAAACATATTTTAATTATTACCTTATTAAAAGTTTTATACACTATACGCTTGTCAGATATGTATTTTTACTACCCACGTTCCAAGTGTTTCTTCTAATAAGAATAATACAGGGTTCGTACAATAAATATGTCCGATTTATGGTAAGTTATAGAATTTACATGGATAATAAATACGATACATCGTCTGTGATAAATCACGTCCGAACAGTTAGCAACCAATTTAACGTGAGATTTTAATAATGCATTGACTTTTAATTATCCGACCGTTCGAATTCGAACGTGACAATTTCCAATGGCAAATGAATTATTTATGTATCCTCCCGTTAAATGTATTTGAATGTCGATGGCAATAAGTAAAGTGATGATACATTTAACAATTACACTTTGAGAAGCAAACAATTCTAACTATTAACACAAACGGCTACATCAATTTCAAGAAAACTATTTTTTCTGTTTATGAAACAAATACAATTTTGTAGTTTATATAAAGTGATAGATAATATTAAACTGGCAAGAAAATCATTAAATCATAGAAACAAATATTATCTAACTTCTTTCATTTCACGCAGATAAGACGACGAATAATTAAATTACCCCTTACATCATAAATAAACATACAATAATTAGAGATTCACGTTCTCTGCCAATGTTTACAGAACACCTAGACCATAAAAATGTAAATCCGCACGAAAAGTCCGCAGTCCAAAGAATGGCGCAGCCCCACCGCAAAATTCAACAAGCCCAACTCGCCTTTTACAACAAATATTTTCCCAAACGTTATCGTGTATTCGTTATCCATTAAGATGCCGTTATCTTTCTTAACGATTTTCAGCGGATACACCGCCGGAGAAAAGAGAAAGAAGAAGGGAAACGGAAGTTGTTTTCCACGAGGAAATTGGTTCCCAGCCATACTGCGTCGAGGAACCTGGAGCCGAGTAAAAAAAAAGGAAAGAAAAGAGGAGAGGAAAAGGTGGAAAAAAAAGAAAAGAGGAAACAGCCGCATGTATGGCGAAGCTCGTGTGTATAAATACATAAGAAAAGGCAGGAAAAAGAGGTGGCGACGAGAAGCTGGCTGGTACATAATCGCGTCGCGACAAAGAATCCATAAAAGGTTGGGCTGCCTGCGTTTTTCGTGTAGTGCTAAAGAAGAGAGCGCGACTCTAAGCTGCGGCGCACTCGTGTCCCCGAGTGAACACAATAATGCTCCGCTATTAACCGAGAGCTTGTATTAAGCCCTCGAAAAAAGCTTTCATGCACTTAACGACAAATAATATGAGAAGTGGTGCTACGGTCGGCCGGGACGACCGCGTCTCGCCGACGTTCTACTAGAGGCATGCCACACGCGTGCACCTCGCCGTGCACCTGCAAATAGATTCCACGATTGTGCGTGTTCCTTTTCGGCGAAACTTCCAGTCAAGCCGACACAGCCGCCCCCCTAGTCAGACTGCACGGCAGTTTCACCCTTTGATTATGAGCAGGGATCGCGCGATACGCATCAACGGTTACCCTGAAAAAGAGAAAAGCAGAAAACATTAAATGACGGAAGACCTTTGTGCCGATGCCACCGCCGAGATTGGTTTGTTACGGGGAAATGCGATCTTCCATTTTTAAGGGAGGACCGGGGACGAACGAATCGCTGAAGAACGAAGTTTCCTTCCGGTATTACTTCCGGGGAAATAGAACGAAGTATTTCCGTATTGTTCACGAGAAAAGCCTTGAGAGGAATGCGAGTCTAATTGAAGTTGGGAATTCCAAATCAGTACAAGTCCACTTTTTAACGTTAGACATATGAGTTATTGATGTAACTGTTTTCAGCTTACACGAGTACAATGCAAATGTTTAAAATGTACAAGTAATGAAGATGTATGGTTCGCCTCTTTGATCCTGAGCCTCGCTCTAAAAATTAATACAACAGGAACAAGAGAATCGGTCGCACGCTCCACCTCGGTCCTTCCAGGAAACAATAACCGAACCTTCGTATCGTCAGGATTCGGTAAACGTAAACAGCAATCACCGCGTAAAAACGAATCCTAAATAGATTTTAACTGCTATTCTACTACATTCTGTTCATTTAAGTTTTAAATTGATTAATTCTCACTCAGGTTTCGTTTCAGTGATTTATATATTTATTACGATAGTAAGTAATGATAGTGATAACAAATAACAAAACCGTAACAGTAATTAGTAATAAATAATATTTATAAATGATGAAATGAACTTACACAAGATTCTTAAATTGCATCAAAGAGACAGACAAATCCAATTCAAAGCAGCAGTTTTCATATAAAGTAGATTCGTTCTCCAAGACAATAAGCTTCTCACGGCAACGAATACTTTTTTCTTTTCCTCTTTTTAAATGAAAACAATTTTTGTATGCATTGATGTCGCTATAATGGACCAAAAGAAGCTTAAATGTAAATAATGCTTAAGAAAAACTTTAAAAGAAGCTTTGGATTAATTATTTAAGTGGTAATATTATGCTAAACAATTTTTTCTTCGTTACCTCCTAATTGTATAATATTATCTATGACATCCGATCAGAAATAAACACATTTTAAATAATAAATAAAAAATCCAAAAAGGGACTTGTCGTTTATTTTATTCGTTTAATAAACATGAGGATTAATATTAAAAAGTAAAATGATATTTCACTTGAAATGAATAAAATGATATTCAAACAAATATTATGTCAAATAAATATCAGGATAAAATTATTATACACTTATTATTTGTTATTTAAGATTTTTTATTTACGTAACACTACAAATATCTCAGATCTATAACATAGATTGGTCTGCTTAATTAAGATTATTATAATCCAGATTACAGATTATATTACAGGAAACTGTAATATATTAAAAGTCTATATAAATCCAAAATGTAAATCAAATGCAGAATAATAAATACGGCAAAATAAAAATAAAATAATTTATAATAAATTTTACTATGAAATATATTGATATATTAGAATCTCCCAAAAATATGAAATAATACATATAGATTACACTTCATTTATTTTGATATATCACTTATTTATTTATTTTCATACAAATTAATGTAAAGGACACAGAAGTTGTTGACCATCACTTTATTGTCTGCAAAACATAAATTGAAATTCCCTGATACCTGTACAAGTCATGTATTGAGCCTTAACAAGGAGAAATTATAATTATACTAGTGACAAGTGCACAATAGTTATTACGAAAATAGAATGTTTCATACAGTTAAACGATTCGATACATTGAATACTGTATTTTTAAGAACAAAGGATCTGTAGATATGAGTTAAATTCCGGTTAATACTACACGAACTTAAATTGTCTAACTTCACAATTTCTCCTTATTTTTATTCTATCAATATATTTATTTGTTTAAAAAAATTAATTTTATCACAGGAACAATTAAGTGGTTCAACATAAACATGATTTAATTTCATAATATTTAAATATGTGACGGAACTTTATATTCTAATAGAATAAAAGTTGTAGGATACTTTTGTTTAATAAATGTTATTAAGACTTGTATCACATAAAATTAATTTGCTTTTATTAAACAAAACTAAGACACTTTTTTATTTTCTTCGGACATTTTTTGTTTCTTTATGATTTCCTGTTTAAACAGAACTTAAGAAAACCAAAAGAAGCAATCTGTTATGCATTCCAGTATAGCAAACATAACTTTCTTTAATTATTATTCGCTTTACCAAAAATAACACATTGATACATTCTTGGTAACAATTAATTTGTTTATTATGAAACCAATTTATTCAGCATAATGCGTAACAGAAATACTTTAAATTAAAAAAGTTACAAATACTTCAATAAGTCATTGTATTTACTGTAACCGAATGTCCCATGATGATATATATATGTACAATATATATGATGAGTGAAATTAGAGTAGTACGTTCATTAGTTTATAAAATCCTACCTAAAAGAAACGAAACTAATTATCGAAGTTTCACATTGAAATTGGTTTATAATCCTATGCACGTGTATACCTAAAAATGTAGAAAAATGTTGAATCAATTTAGTTAAAATCAAAGAGATCTCTTTCTAGAACTATGGACAAATAAATTTAGAAACACATAACTCAAATATTATAAATCGTAATTACAATTTGTATTTAACATTTTAATTGCTACACATTTAGGTTACCTATCAATCGAGCAACATCGTGTTTTTCATCTAGTGAAGAATCCTACAAATTATACATAGGTAATTATATGTCAGTATATAACCTAAATATTACATCTTAACCAGAGGAATTTGATGTGTAGTATAAATTTTTATATCGATTAATATTTCAATTATTATTCCATTTATTTAACTAAGCCCATCTTTTTAGCTTCCACTTCGTATATCAATAACCTCCACATTTTAACTACAAACACTTCTGCTTCTTCGTCTAATACCTGAAACATACAGCATTGCATTATAAGATTAGACATCTTTTAATACGAATCGATAATCCTTTTTTATAATAATTAATTACCATCTGTACATCATCAAGTATACCCTGAGGTGAGCTGCCAGCCATTACTTTACTACAAATAAAATCCACTAACGTAGGTTCAGGTTCCCCAATATATTCAATAATCTTCTTATTAATCCATGGCCTTATCCTCTTTTCCATTAACGTCTAACAGGAGAAATAAAAGAATATTACATAACAATAATATATAAATATAATAAATAATTCAAGCCAAAATAAGCGAAAAACATTACTCACATTATCTATTACAGCCCAATCGAGTTGGTATCCAAATAAAGCGTTCTTATCTGTAGGAATCTTATCAATAAGGGACTTTATATGCTTTCGTTTCTCTTCTTGACTCTTTGTACTTTCTTCTTTGCCTGGTTTAGGAGCCTCCTCTGTAGATTTCTTCTTTTTGTCTTCGCCATAATCTGCAACAAATGTTCACATGAAAATTATATATATATAGATCTCTCTAGATATACAGTTCGCTTCTCACGTCTATAGTGGCAACTAACAAACTAAAAATGCATAAGAGCAAACGGAGGCGTCTTATTTATAATTAGCATTGAATACAATTTACCTAAAGGAACTAGTTTACGCTTCTTTGCATTATTAGCACCATCATCGTCATCATCATTATTAAACACATCCTTCACGTCGATCCGACCTTTCTTTCTCGTTTGATTCGCTGGTTGTGAATTAACATTAACAGCTGTGCTAGGACTAGCTGGAGTTTTGTTACCAACACCGTGATCACCACCACGATTACCTCCACTTCCCATAGCAAACGGCACAAAATTACCTAAAATAAAATAAACATGACATGCAAACAAGATTTCTTGTCATATCCATAAAAAGAAAACGTTGTCCAATGTACTCACTACTGCTCGTTTTTTCTGGTTCACTAACAAGGGACATACGAGAATCTTCGTCTAATGTGGGTGGAATGGACTGAGTTGAAGGTGTAACTGTTTGATGAGGAGGTGACGATCTCGTACATTTCACACTTTCTCTGTCTGCCTCTACAACTTCCTCATTTTCCTCGCCGTCATGATGATGATTCTGATGATGACGATGATGTCTTCGATGATGATGGTGGTGTCGCGGTGGTGTCCTAGATGGTGCTTCCGTCTGAGATGCGTCATCAAATTGCACGCACTCGTCACTATCACTCTCTATAGGTTCAGTTTCTATAGGTGGCATAATTTCTTTTTCTTTTTTTACTACTTTTTCATCTTCTTCGTCAATTATTGTAATTACAGGTTTAGGCTTGTACTGTTCTTCTCTTTCAGCTTTTAACTGAAACAAAATAATTTTAAAATAACTGTACACACTAAAATGATCAAACAAATAAACGACACATTTTAACATACATTCTTTTAGAAATTTCCAACTATAAATAAAAATAGAAATCCATACTTCGGTTACTTCCGAGCTATGTATAATACTACATAAAAGTATTTTACCCTTTCAAATTCTGCCGCTGGATCTGGATGAGAGGCATCAGCATAAAGTTTATCACGGAGACGTTGAAGCTCCTGACGCTCAGCACAACGGTCCCGCGAATCTGCTTCCGCTTCGAGTGCTCTCTCTTCCAAACGACGCGACAGTTCTTTGCCTTTATAGTATTTAGCGTCATCTCTATCATCATCATAATCTTCAAGGAATTCTTTCAATCGTTTTGCCTCTCTTTCACGTGCCTCCCGTTTCCCGCGACGCTTTTCCGCTTCCTTTTCATATTCCTTTTGTTTGCGACGTTCTCGCGTCTCCCATGCTCTCAGACGCTCTTGGTAAGCAGCCTCCTTTTCTCGTGCTCTTCTTTCATTTTTCTTCCTTTCCTTAGCTTCTTCCTCTTCTTCCCTTTCACGCATTATTTCCCTTTCAGTCTTCCTCGCTTCTTCTCGTTCACGTTCTCTCTCTCGTTCCCTATCTCTTTCCCTTTCTCTTTCTCTTTCCCGTTCTCTATCTCTTTCACGTTCTCGTTCACGCTCCCTCTCACGGTCACGATCTCTTTCTCGTTCCCTCTCTCGGTCTCTATCTCTATCTCTGTCTCTATCACGATCTCTATCATTCCTTTGACGGTCTCTGTCTCGTTCTTTAGATCTTAGTGATAACACACAGTACATGTATATTGAAATTTTCTTATTTTCAAAATTACTTCAATAAATATTATTCTATAAAACTGTTACCTGGATTTAGACCGTCTTTTATCCCTTCTACTACTTCCTGTACTACTACTACGGCCCTTGTGAGACGTAGGACTACCAGGATCTTCTTGATCATCTTTAGCGTTGCTGCCATCTCGTCTATCCCGCCGTTCTTTTTCACGTTTTTCCCGTTCTTCTTTCTCTACTGCTTCTTTCTTCCGTTTCACTTGGGCCTTCTCCTCCTCCTGCTTCTATAAAACACAAAAACAGAAAAATTGGTGAGACTAAATAGTCAAAACAAATTTATTAGGCTGTGATAATAAAACGCAAAAAACTAGCAATCGTATTGTCCTGAGTTATAAAAATAAAAGGGTAGAATAAAAGGTTACTGTAAGTGTAAAGTTAGTTAATGTGTATAAAAAGTAATGATAATACCATTACACTATGACGGTGTAATATTATCAAATTTGTATGAAGTCAAAACAAATGTCCTCATGAATAAATATGTACATCTAAATATGCATATGTATATCTTAATAAGATATAATAATTTGTATTAAATATCCGCAGGAGCAGTACATGTTAAAAAAAACTATATAAATTTTTATTAATTAATACTGAAACATGGAACATATATATATATTGCCTTATACTGTACCACCATAAAATGATGAACTCTTATTACTCAGAACAAATGCTTTGCAAAACATTTTTTTGTTTTATTTTCAATTTCATTGCGACCATCTTATTATATAAGATTTATTGTTTAAATTTTGCATGAACAGTTTTAGTACTCGATGTTACCAATATTACAGTATTTAACGATTACTAGTTGCACAAAAATTAATCACATGTCAAATATCATAATTCTGTTCATCTCAATGTGGTATACTCACTCCACTGGAGCATGCTCGGTCAGCAGCATCTTACACGAAATCTTGTTTACATATCAATTACCTAAGTGCAGGTATAAATTTTGGAAACAAGCATAAGAAATTTCTTAAGCTCTACTTAAACTAAAAATACCTTAATACTAACAGATGCATCGTAGAGGCCACCCAATGTACTTACAACATTGCAAATGTGCCTGTAAATCAATAGTGTCTAAAACTATGTAAGTCTAAGAGTCGAACGGGTGAATATTTAGATTTCTTGTCAATACTCAATAATTATTAGAAAGTATTATACCAATCAGAAGCGGAGTCATCACGAAGAAGGGATTCCACCAAAACATCTTTCACTTTTGCCAAGAAACAGTCACGCGTCTGTCAACTTTGTTTTCTTCTGGCTATGCAGCTGATGCAGCAAACTGTTGGATATCAAATGCACAATAGTTTGCCCACCCTTATCGTCCCGTATTATCAACGTAACGTCATAGAAATAAATTAATATGGTTCATCCTTATTTGATACAATAATAATAGCAATGGATTACTGCTTGGAAAGCCTTCCAATATAGACTTAAACAATCGACAGTTCATTGAACATCTTACATTCGCTCATCAAAATTTTTATTGAAAGCTAAATTAGTACATAAAAATGATAATACTCTTTTCATAAAAAAATTAATGAGAATATAGATGTAGTAAACAAGAAAAAGCATATCTAAAATATCTTGTGCGACGTGCTTTTTCTTAAATTTTTATAATTGAATGTCCATACAGTAACCCATACTCTTTTAAACTAATAAGGATAGAGTAACTGAGTGCATAAAAATAGATGCACATATGAGGAGAAACAGACTGTTGAAACATGAAACATCAGTGGTCATAGGTATTCAGATGGGCAGTTCACTAACAAAACTACAAGAACCGAATGATTGTGTTGGCTCATGGTTGTGGAGTTTACTCACGGTGTGAAGTTGACTTGGTCAGTCAGTGTGGTGGTACCGGAGAATGGAGGAGCGCGCACCTAGGTACTACATGTCTGATCGAGACGCTGACAGAAGCTGTTTACACAAAATAAAGACAACAACTGAACAGTCGCCATTGTGATGACAAAATCATTTCATTGTGTGTAGGATTCAGAAAGTCTCGATCCTATCAATAATCTATTTAGAAGTACATTATAAAGTATGTCAGCGTCAAATTTCTTTGAACAAAATTATATTTTTTATCAATCCTAGGCAGTGCATAAAAACAATTGGAACGGCAATTCACTGACCTTCTATATACGAGTACTAGACTGCTAAACAACATCAATACAAATAAAACAGCACATTATCATTATTATTATTTTTGATAATCAGAAAAATAGATAAACAGATAACAGATAAAGATATTCAATAAAAGAACTACCTTAAAATTTGTTCTTAAAAACAATAACTAATACATATCATTTGTGTTAACAATATATTTCAAACAAATATGAAATATAAAGCCTTCCAACTCTTTTTACTTTTATTTCCTTATATCCTAGTTTAAATATTACAGAAACATTAATATATAATGTTTTTTGGAAATTATAGAAAAGATAACTGTTCAAATATTTTCAATTCAGTTTTGAGTACTGTAAAGAAAAATTACATTTTATAAAAAAAACTCTTATATAAAATACTTTCTGTAAAAAATTCAAAAAGTACATTTTTATAAAAATACTAGTGTTAGCAGTTTAGCACAATAAGTATAGAAGCAGATAAAGAAATTTGATTGTATAGAATAAATTATACTCAATATACAATAATACAGTGCTATTAGAAACGAAGAAATATTTGCGACGAGATAAGAAAATGGAGTTCCAAGAGACAAAATTATTGGCTACATGATGTCAGCATGTTGTAGAGTTATGAGATTCTCCCGTCTTAAGATTGCACATTTCTTGTTTTTCATGTTTTGTTGGTTGGATATACTCTGACTTACCGACGAGGCTGCAGCTGCCTGCGAAAATACGAGGGATGTGCTGTGATTGACTCCCTTCAGAGCCAATGAGTGAGTGAAAGAGTGGTCCCCACACACAGCATTCCTAGGCGTGTGCGTTTGCTGTGTGCGACGCACGCTGCCTGTTATTATAATTATAGCAACGAGTCACGGCTCCAATTATTTAGAGCTAACATAGCACACACGCACTTTATCACAAAATACTTAAAAACTATACTTTATAACTATACACATGTAATTCTCTCTTTTGCTTGCCCAAATGTATTATTTAATTTTTTACATGTATGCTGTGAATTTAATCAGTAATTGTCCAATACCAATTACAAACATAATCGCAATACATTTCATTATATTACTCAAATTATGAAAATATTTGTGTTATGCTCAAATTTTACCAATTTTAAATAAATATTAAAATCGTTCATCGGGAAGTCAGGCGTTAATTTTAAATGAAATTCTAAAAACAAATTTTGAATAAAGATAAAAGGTGATATCAATTTTTTTGAATACAAGTACTTTTTAAAGTCCATAAATAACATTTAAAAACAGCCATTTTGTAATACATTGGTACTTTTTCCTACTTTGTAAAAAGAATAATTTTGATTTTTCTTTAACCAAATAAATAAAATAATAATAAATTTGTTCTAATGTTCTGTGAAAGTAATAGAATAAAATCTACAAAGTATTACAAACATATTCTTAAACATATTTTAGTAAACCAACATTTACACAATTTAACTATTCACGTTTATGCAACAAATATAAAAATGAAATCAAAAATATGAAATAATAAAGTATAAAGTAAAATCACATTTTCATAAAAAATTAGACAAAAATTATGAAATGTACTAAATTTTATATGCAAAGTCATTCTATACAGATTAGAATACAACAAGATTTTATCAAGACTATATTTCTTTTTTAATATGTTATAGAATAATGTTTATAATGCTTCGTAAAAGAATTCGCATGATTGGTGACAACAGTTTTATAGTAATTCTTAACATCCGTAAACCTAACTTTTTCCAAATTCAGTACCCAATCCTATCAGACCACACAATTCAGAATACCTTCTAAGATTTTGGTATATCACATCCGATAATATGACCAAAAAGAAGGGCAGAAAAATAGGTGTAATATAAGAAGAATATTAAAGTAAATATGAAAATAATTACCTTCATAACTTCCCTGAATTTTCCAATTTCTCGTGTAATCAAGTCTCTTTTACTTTCTTCTATTTCTGCATCATCCAAGTTCAAGGATTTTGCAACCATTTTTGTTTGATGTTCCTCTATTATATGTAATTAAAGAAATGCTTTATTAGTTCCTTAATGAACTTCATAAAATATTGTAGCAGAATAAATGCATTACCAGGAGCAACTTGAGCCATTTCCAAATCAGTGGCATGTTCAGCTATTATTTGATTTATACGTGCTAGTGCATCTGCGTCCACTACCCTCATTCCCTCATCCATATAATCTTCACCTTCTTCTCCTTCAGCTCCTTCAGTAGATGTTTCATCCTGCAAAGGGGACTGACCCCCTCTTAATTTTTTTCTTCTTTCCGCTACAATAATCCAAAATAACATATAAGATATATAACAAACTTATCAAACTATTATAATCTTCTACACTTCCAATTTTACCTTTAAATTGATCCAAAACAACTTTAGCTTTTGCATCAACTTTTACAACAAGTTTTTTTGTGCCTATTTCCATGTCATGAAGTAATCTAACTGCTCTGAGACCTGCATCAGGACCTGCATATTCACAAAATCCAAATGCTTGGACTCTCTTCCATGAAAGGACATGGCCACATGCACCCAGAATATGTCGAATCATCACATCAGGTGCTCTGTCCATAATGTTACCAATAAAGACAGTAACTGGTGGACCAGATTCTCTCTCACGCCGACGATTATTGTCATGACGATTCTGGTTACGTGCATACCGTACAGCTGGAGCTGAGGTCTGCATCGCAGATACGGGTGTTGGAATCATCTATGTTTTATAAATGGTAGGTTTCTTAATAATACACATCTCTACTCATGCAGAATCCAGAACCTCCCCTCCCCCTAATAGCGCATTATTTTGTTTCTCTTTATTTTAGTATTTCTTATCACAGTATGATATCATGCAAGCATTGAATATGAAAGTGTTAAAATAAATATTGGTATCAGAAACACAACAGTAGATAATACATATAAATGAATGCGCAACATAAAATAAATGCATTAGCACACATAAAACTTTCTGACTGTGATATTATTAGTAGCATTTATTAAAATAAGCTATTAAAAATTTACATTATTTCCTATTTAATACATTAATTAGCTCACACTGAGTTGTTTGTATCAAAGAATACATGCTCTTCCTCTTTCATTTTTTAACGTAACTAAAAATATGTTGTTTGTCGACAAAAATTAATTTTAATATGTTATACTATGTAAAGCTTTTAAATTAGTGCACAATTACTAATAACGTGCAACAATTTTGAATTACATTTATTCGTATTGTCGATTATAAATTAAAGTGAACACAAGAAAAATATTAGAAAAATACTATTAGCGACATATAATACAAAATTTTTTTTTATGCTATACTACTATATAAATATGAAAATATTAATAATAAACATATTGAAACTTTGATGGTGATAAAATAATGTAATATAAAATAATGTACCAGATGTGTAACAACATATAACAAGTGAGAAAGATGTCCAAAAGGCAAAATGAAATGATTGTCCAAGAGCTTATAAAAATAGACATGCTCAAAATATTGAAATGACAATTTGTTTATTTACTTACATGCGCCATAGGCATTACACCACCTATAATTGGCGGAGGTGCACCAACAATGTAAGGCATAGGTGGCATGCCTGGTATTCCCATTGGAGGTTGGCCAGGATAAGACATTTCTTATTTTAATTAGTACTATGGCAGTGCTCTCACTAAAAAATGTAATACAGTACATTAATATTTATTGACAATGTAAAGTACATCAATTTAATTCTATATTTAAGAATATCAAATTTAGTAAATATAATGTTACACTTAGTCATTTATATTACAAGAATTAAATATCTCATTGATAATTTAAAAAATTTATATACTTGTCATTAGTAATGTATCATTATAATTTATACAGAATGATATACACACAATATTTGGATACTATGAAATATAAAATTTTTATAAAACCTCAAGAGCTTATTAGTTACTGATAAATTATAAATTATATTACCATGTGATGATTATAAAATTGTTAGGTTAATTAAAAATCAATAGTAGTAAAGGTCAATTTTGTTAACAATATTACTAATATTGCTATAAATTAACTGTAAAGGATATTATAAGAAAAATATGTCAATTATAATTTATACATAAAATATGAATATATAAACGTGAAAAAAAACATTTTGTAGGAACATTTTGTAAAATTTTTTGCAAATATTTACTGAATGACAATCTTTCATATGCATTAATTTTTCTGACGTGTAATGAAATATACGTAGCAATTTGATATCAATGTTAAATTTTATATTTAAGTACTTAAATTTGACTACTTATTTTAAAAAATTATCAATACGTTAAGTTGTTCTAAAAAAGAATAAATTTCTTTTAATAAAAGTTACAGATGCCAGACAAGACATTAATGGATGCTTTGCTATTCTAACCGTTAAATAATTTCAACAAAGAACTAATTCTATACTTACATAATATATTTGAAAACAGAACCAACACATTAATCATCGCTTTAAAAAACTTTATGTCATTATCTAAAGACTATAAAGTCGAAAAGACGTTTCACTAAATACACCAACTTCCACTTTCACAATCGTTCAGCTGGTAATCACTTCTTTTCGTCCATTACGGCTTCACGCGCTGTTCACTTCTAGAAGGCTATGGTTGATGGTATATTTCCCGTGTGTTCATCAATACATTATAAAAGTACCACATCTTACATTATTTATTTTAATCAGTAAAATATAAAATTTAGAGACTCTTATATTTATAAATTATAGTTTAAATAAAATCACATTGCAACAATATCTGTGCAAAATACATAATTGAATTATTAATTATTCGACATTTGTCGAACACCCTTCTATGTACTTTATATATCTTATGGATTTTGAATTTAGATATTACATGTTTTTACTATAAATAATACGTGGTATTGTACTGTTGAAAAGTGCAAAAATATTAATATGTAGTAATTAAAAGTATATATTCATTATTTATTAGTTTACTAATAACAATTGATTTTATTGTAATTTGAAACTATCCTACTCCTTAGTAAAAAATATTAATAAAAGACACTAGCAATAAATCTATATTTACATTAGAATATGTATCAAATGATATAAGTTATTACATTTAATGTTAACAAAGAATCACAGAAATTTTTAAGTTACATGGAAGTAAGGCATTCTTACATTCTGCGTTGCATAGTTCTTTATTTGTAGATAATAAAAATATGCTAAAACACGGAAGATTATTAAATAACGTTAAATTATTAACAATTTACACAATAGTTTTACGAAGAAAATATGCTGGAAAAGTATAAACAATCACTTCATAAAATTATTACTTACCACCAATTACAATGTGGATTCAATGGAAACTAGTATATATATACAAGTTATAAAATCTGGACACATCATTTTTCATTCTGCAATCTAGCGTAACAAAGTAATATAAACATAACGAGTTCATTACATCAATAAACTTATTGTAAACAGAAAATCTAAACGTACACATCTTTATGTTTTTCACTGACTGTTAAAATAGAAAACCATTTGAAAGTGTTAAACGCCCTCTACATTTGGTCGGCATTCCGTTAAACCCTTCAGTTTGTGAAATGGCAGTGTGATGCATTCTTAAGTTGAGTGAAGTGAATTTCATGGGGATAGATTGATAGAATTTCAAAATATAACAAAGTAATATGGTAAACTATTAAAAACGCCAATGTGTAAAACAATTAATTACGCTGTATACAATGCCATCTAATCCGTTTTTTAAAATACGAGAGCTACAATGAGACAATACTTTCGCCTTTTATTACTATGTAGTTAACTATTTTGGTTGACAATGAGATATAGAATCCTGAAAATTGGATTTTTTTTTAGTATAGTCTGATCGGAATAAAAACAAAATTGTATTAAGAAGCATTATTGTGAACTGTACGTAAATTGATGTGAAAATATAAAAAATGTTGTGACCAGTTTCTACAATAATGTCCGCATAATTTATATTTATTAGATAACCCCATTTCAAAAAATTTAAATAATACATTTACTACTGTATTATACCGGTCGTTGATACGTGAGCAGTTAATGTTTATAATGCGTTAAAACATAAAGTGTGAAATGAATTTTAGTTATCATTTAAGTAGGAAAATAAATATTTATTGAAGTTACATACCATGTAAGTATTGCATTACGTTTTATACGTTCTTATATTTTGTTATTATTACTGCATAGTAATAAAGATATTTAATTACTATGTAATTTTTAATGAGTATAATATAATTACATTTGATTAGGATGCTAAGCAAACAATGAACTTACAAGTACAAAATATAAAACCATATTCTTCGATATATATATGTCATGCTTGATTCAACGTTTTATTTAAAAAATGTGTAATTATTAGTTACATATACATATAAATCTTTAAATCATTTACGAGTCGCAAATAACCAATGTATGTCATTTTTCTCATTTCAATGCACTGCTACTTGCTTTATAACATACTTTTTGGTGAACTTTTATATTGTATGTATATATATTATACAGTATGCAATGTAATAAATCTATAATAAAATATTAAGGACAAATGAAACTTATCTGACATAAATTATTGTGAATATATAATAACAGATATAGGAATCATATAATCGTATATGATAATAAAATACGTTTTATATAACTGATTGTATAGTGATAATGGCACCAAAACGAGCTGAAGAAATTCATGTAAAAAGAGTAGCAGCTTTGGGTTGTAAGTTACCTGATGAATTACCAGAAGGAGAAATATTGACCGATATTACCCAAAATAAATGGAAACTAGGAAGAACAATTGGATATGGCGGATTTGGCGATATATATTTAGGTAATATCTTTTATAGTTTTTAGTTTTACATATAGAAAATTTTAGTCAAATTTAGTTACTTATAGAAAATTTTTGAATTGTTTTGAATTGAAATATATATATAACTCGTTTTATATATACTTGAAATATTTTATCCATTGCTTATATTATTTGACTTCATCTGTAAATCTGCCACTTTCTTTATTGCAGCATCAAAAGATATTGATGCTCCAGTAAGGCAGGATGCAAAATATGTTATAAAAATTGAACCACATAATAATGGTCCACTGTTTGTTGAAATGAATTTTTATATAAGAGCAGCCCGTAAAGAAATGAGTAAGTTAATGTTTTATATATAATATATTTATATTTTTTACTTATCTCCCTTCTCTATCTTATTTATATCTCTTTATTGTTCATTATAGTTGAAAACTGGTGCAAATCACAAGGAAAAAGACAAATAGGTGTTCCAACATATGAAGGATCTGGCTCTCATATATATGGAGGCCAAAAATACAGGTTTTTAGTAATTCCAAGATATGGTGTAGATATTGGAAAATTGTTTCTGACAAATGGACGAAAATTGCCTATGAAACTTGTTAATAAATTAACTGTTCAGATGGTATTCAATTATTAACAAAATGAAATTTGTATTTAAAGTGAAATTTGATATTCTATTCAACTTATGTTCCTTTTAATCATTATAGCTGGATGCACTTGAATATATTCACAGTCGAGGATATGCTCATGCAGATATTAAGGGATCAAATATTTTATTATCTTTATGCAAAGAAGGCGAAAATACACAACAATCTAAAGCATATTTAGTTGATTATGGACTAGCCTATCGTTTTCGTACAGGATCAGGTATTCATAAGCCTTTTGTTCATGATGAAAGAAGAGCACACGAAGGGACATTAGAATTTACATCTCGAGATGCACATCATGGAAGTAAGTTTTAAATATATTATAAAAAATCTTTTACTAAATATCATACCAAATTATATTATATCTTACAAATCTCATTGTAGCTCATTCAAGAAGGGGAGATTTAGAAACATTAGGATACAATATATTGCAGTGGTTGTGTGGTAGATTACCTTGGGAAAAAGAAAATGACACTGTACCATCAATGATGGATCCAGATGATGTTCATGCACAGAAAGAAATTTTACTTTCAAATTTGCCATTATTTATGGATAAATGTTTTCCTTCCAAAAAGAAACCACCACCTCGTAAGTTCCAAATTCTTATATAAAAGATGGAAAAATATTTTGAATTTTAATTTCATTTTATTTGATTTTAATAGTTCAAGCATAGACACTGCTTGGTTAAACATAACAACACACAATTGTTCTTTTAGCAACAAATCTTAACATATAAATGTTAATATTAACATTTCTTTCCAGCTGCCATTGTGGAATACATGAAGTATATCACTGAATTAGGATTTGAAACCAAGCCTAATTATTCTTACCTGCGTAGTTTGTTTCAATCTGGTTCCAATCAGAAAAATGATGTTCCCACGTGTTTATATCGTGTAAGAGAATCTAATGAAAATATTTCTTTTCCTATATCTTTCAAACGACCATATTTGAGAGAAAGAAAACCCTGTAGACCAGTTAATGGCGAGGTAAATACTAAATTTTATTATTTTACAGTTTTTAAAGTTTTTATATTAGTTTAAATGGTAATAAACATTATTACTTCTAGATTCGTATTACACGAAATACACAACCTAAATATCCAGTAGAGAGGAAAGAATTTTGTTGGGAGGCAGTATTAGCATTACATCCTGACAAACTAGCAAAACTTACTCTGCAACCTCCACCTTCACCACTTACACCGCCACCATCGCCACCACCTCCATCATTACCTACATATGCCATGTTGAACGTAATTCAGAGAATGAAAGAAAAACAGTCCGGCTCATTTCGACATAAAACATTTCCAAAATCTTCAGAGTAAGTATAATAATTAATTTTCAAAATTATTGTAGCGTAAGATGTTAAATATACTTTCCAATCATATTTTTTTTTACAATTAGAGACCTTAAAGCGAAATGGATGACTCCTGCAATGGAAGAAGTAGTTCAGTTAAGGAAAAAAACTTCAACGTTACCCATGTCGTCGTCTAAAACGTCACCCCGTTTGACACGTTCGCGAGTGGCCCAACTGAAACGTATGAGACACCTTTATTTGTGTTAACGTAAAATACATTTAACATATAAGAATATAAATTTTAATTAAACTACATTTATCCACAGGACTCGGAAATAAAAAATCTTACAAAAAAAAGATGCTAACAAAAGAAGAAAAAGTTCATCATCATAAATAGGATTGATTTTTTATTATCGTTTTAGTTCTCATTCCTCGGACAATGAAATCACCAGCAAGTAGTTTTCTAATTAAAAGGTGTATAATTAAGTATTATTCTCAATTTGTTTATTTAGATTTTATAATAATATACTCTTAATGTTCCTGTAAAGAGGAAAAATTTCTAGACAATGTCTTGGGTGTCTAATACACCTATTTTTGTAAGACTGCTTTATGATTATAATTTGTTATTGAATTAATATAAGATTTTTTAAAAACAATTGTATAGCGAACAAATAATGATGAACAGTTGAGGTATTAATTATACAAATTACACTGCTTCCTCTTAGGAATATAATTTCAATATAACTGAAATGCAATGCGATTGTAGCCAGTAACGGAATATCACTGCTACTAAAAATACAGAGCATGTAAGTATTTAATAATTCTCATGATGAACATACGATCTGAAAATTAAACTAGATATACACCTAGACTGGATTTACCAAATGTTAAATCTTTTCCTAATTTTGCAAAATAGTTAACAAAAATTGTAATTTATACAAGTTATAACAAAATTACACTTTCTATATTAAAATAATGTATATACTCTAAAAATGTTCGAAACATTTATTTTGTTTTACTGTCATAATTATAAGTCCCATGTTTATGATTCAAATATCATGTTATACTTGTACATTATTAAAATAATTCAATAATTATTAATTAGATGACATTTCTAGTTTTTCTGGAAAAGAAGTGTAAAATTTGATATATTAGAAAAATGATGTAAATGATTCTATTAATGTCACATTATATATACAAATGTAAAACTCATAAATATTGCCGACAATATAAAATAATAGTATATTTCGGCTCAGTATAATGAAATGTAGTGAAGTATGTGTAAAGATAATTACTTTCGTAAGTTATTGAATCATTTTCAATAGACCAGTATTACAGTTAGAAGCTACTAACTGCTTATACATATATGCAATAGCATACGTTTGTTATTATATTTACACATTATAATCAATAAGAATGAGTGTGTAGTATAATTAGAAGAAATTATATTTTAATTCGTTTTTAGATTTTATACATAAAATAATTAAAAAGCACATATTTAAAGGTCAGTCCCTAGACTTGTATTTTACAACCCATCACGTAACATTATCTCATCATATTTTCTTATAATCTGGTATAATACATGTATAGAGAAAAATTCTTTTGCTGTAAGTTTGTAATAATATATTTGTATCTTCTTAAGTTACACGTACCTGTGCCACAAAAGCAGTGTTGTTAAAGACTTAAAAATGTATTGTAATTCAATAAATACACATGCATTTGTATTTTCTTCTATAATATTATAGTTTATGAAATTTTATCAATACAATTATAATTTTCCTTCAAGCAGGTACACTTCTATACAATAAATATTATAAGCATTAATTATATTATGTTTTTGATATTCAAGCTTTCGTCTTATTAATCGAAGAATGTACATAAATATTAATCAAAAATACATAGCAAAAATTTAAATAATTGAAACATTTGTACGAAAATTACTAACAAAAATCATAATTTCTTGACCGTTTTTCATTATGTAATAATGAGATAAATGATACAAGTGCAAGTGGACAATGCGAAAATAACGAAAACAATACGTATTTATCCAATGCACAATATAGTTGAGTCCATATGTTATAGCAAGTGTGTATAATATTGTATATTTAAACGAATATAATAATGAGCAATTAAAAATAATTTTAATTCATTACTAAACTTAGTATTTGTGACAATTATATTCTATTAATACAAAAATGAGTGTCCAATAGCTTTTTGTGCGTATACATATTTTAAAAATGGCAAAAAATTCTTAAATTTTCAATACATATTGAAGAGGTTCTAATTCGATGTATTTAATAATATGATATGATACATTACTAAAATTTAAAGTGGCAATAATTAGAAATATGCAATACAGAATTAATGATCATTAGGTAACAATATCGGATAATAATATGTTTTATACCATAAAAATTGTTTAAATATTTCTAAATTAATTTTGTATAATGCAATTTCTGTATTGTACTATTCAAAGTTTTATTAATAAGTGCCATTCGAAACAAAGAAGTGATTTTTTTGTCATAGCAACGGGTACATCATCTATGATATATCTGTAGTTGCACTGCAAACACTACAAAATACTTACGAATATCACTATCGCGGGTAATGACTTTAGCACTCCTAGTGGTGTATTTTATAAGCTTACATTTGATCAGCATTTGTAGATTCGCAATGAATGTAACCACGCCCGTGAAGCTTCTTTTTTTGGAATTTAATATTTTTTAAAATCATTGCAAGTACTTAATAATATTTCAAGTAAACATGACGAAAGATATTACAAGATGTTATTGTTGGATCTTAAAAACCAATGAACTACAACATACAATGAACCTTACTCTTTCATCTAAATAAAGTGTAGTGACACCACTCGTTCGTTTATTCAGACATAACGTATTTGTAAGGAATATTTTATTTCATACCTGGTGTTTAGTGATATCAACAGAACACACATTTTTAAAATTGCATTATATCTTATACAATTAATAATGATACACTTGTTGTTACTTTTTCATTTGTGTACGTACGTACTTAATCAAAAATATGAGGGTTGTTTTCGAAGTTCTATATCAGATCCTGATTTACCAACCCTTATATTGAATCATGCTAGCGTACCAGCGGAATGTATCAAAGAATGTCGTTTACGTTATTATATGTAAGTAATACACTTTTATTTGGTAATGATAAATTGAACTACAACAGAAATATATTTTATGCATGTGATTATTAGGTTTGCAGGACTAATGAATGGTCAACAATGTTTTTGTGGCAGTAATTATGGAAGGAGAGGTATGTCCACCTCTTGTACCCTTTCTTGTACTGCTGATCCAAATAATTATTGTGGTAGTCAAGAAGCAATGAGCATATATTCTACAGGACAAAAAGGTATATTTATTAAATATTATTAGGTCATGTAATATGAAATGTCAGATTTTTCTTGCTTATAAATGTTTGTACTACCATTTTTATTTCTTTGTTTTTCATGTAATTTTTTAAACAGTTTAATTGTCGATTATCAGTATCATAACTTTTTGCAAGAAAATTTTTCCAAATTGTTCATAATAACTATTTCTTGCATCGTGTTTGGAAATATGAATATCACCAACATTTGCATAATTGTCTTATATGAACTCAAACTTGGATATAATGATGCAAAAACCATTCGAAATATAAACAAAGCATTTGGGGTCAATACTGTGAATGAAAGAACAATGTAGCATTGATTTACAAAATTTTGTTTCAATGATGTTTCTTTACAGAATGAGCCATATAATAAACCTGAAACAGTGGTCTATAACGATGTCTTTAAAATTTATTAACTTTAAATATTCAGAATTTTTCAAAAAAAGGAATACATTCATTAAAAATACATTCACAGAAGTGTATTGAATCAAATAGAGCATATTTTGAATGAGTAAACGTTTTTTAGAATATCAAATAAGGTTTCCTTTTTTCGCAAAATCTGACATTTCATATTATACGACCTAATATTATCATATGAAATTAATAAACTTTTTATATTTGTGAATTTAATCTAATTATATTTTTTAGGTCCCAGTCCACCAAGAAGGGTACAGATAATTCACAGTAGACCTACTAGTTTAGAAATTACATGGGAACCACCTGATATTTTTAATGGAAACATTACTTTTTATGCTTTAAGAGCAGTAGTTCTCGAAACACATGCTACTAATTTGTTACCTACTGTGAAAAGTCAAGTACAAGGTGAAGCTTCGAACAGTACTAGTTTACAAGGCTTACAGCCAGGAACCAAATACAATGTATCTATCATTGCTAAAAACATCCAAGGAAGTAGTGAATCTGCTTATGTTTCAGGGTGGACATTAATAGGTCCACCTAATAAACCAATTGCACCAAAAGTGATAGAACAAACAAGTACTACCATAACTATTTTACTCTCAGAAGGAAGTAGTGAATATGGACCCATTAGCACATATCAAGTATTTGTCGTTCAATCTGGCATAATACCTCCATCAGGGCCCAATATTACATACTATAATTATGAAAAATCAATGGAGCAGGGTTTAGGATATTATGTCACAGGAGAATTTATAGCTTCTGAATTTTATAAATATGAGAAGTTTATAATTGGTGATGGTAAAATGATTGGAGGATATTACAATGCACCTTTAAATACTCAACCAATTCCACAGTTAGGTCTAGCAGTAATTTCTAGATTTCAGAGGGAAATGCAAGTCGCTTATTCAGACTTATTTACCAATGTAAAAAGATACAGTATAAATGAAAATAATGAAATGGATGCCACAACAATTGTTCTGTGTGTTGCAATTGGCATTTTAGGAGCGTTATTAATAGCTTCAGTAATATTATATTTTACTTTACGACAACGCCATGAAAAGTTTCGTATGACAAAACTTCCAGAACAACAAGAACTTACATTACAAGGACCACTGTATGAAGTTGACAATATAGCGTACATTCCAGATGATGTACCTGAAAGGGTTAATTATTACCAAGAACTAAAAAATAAGGTATGGACTATACCACAAGATGTATTAACAGTTAATGACATTATAATACGTAGAGGAAGATTTGGAACTGTTCATACAGGTACAGTTGATAAAGATGGTAAATCATCTACTGTAGCAATTCATAATATAGCAGACAAATTATTAAAAACATCTGACAAAAGAAGCATGTTAAGAGAATTAGATATATGTATCAGAGCTTCTCCAATGAAATATCTTGCAGATCTTATAGGAACTTGTGAAACGCAAGATACTTTGTATGTTGTACTGGAATTACCACTTCAGACTCTGAAACACCGATTGTTAAGTGCAAGATCTGGTAATATATTTCCAGTTAATCAGATGTTATCTATCGCAGCTAAGATAGCATCTGCTTTGCAACATCTTGAAAATTGTAAAATTGTGCATGATCATTTATGTGCACGCAGTGTAGGTATTTGCAATGATTGGACACCTAAATTAATAGGCCATGGTATTTCTAAATATGCATTAGAAGATGTGAAGTACATACGATGGACAGCTATTGAGAATTTTGCTAATAAGAAGAAACATGTATCAAGTGTAGTTTGGGCATTTGGTGTGCTTTTATGGGAAATGCTAAGCATGGGTGGCACACCATATTCTAATTTTACACTTGACAGTGAAGTAGAGGAAGCGGTTGAACAAGGTGTTAGATTACCACAATTAATAGATACTCCTGATCCACTTTATGAAGTTATGTTATCTTGCTGGCACTTTGACATTCAAGAAAGACCAACATTTTCAGAACTTACAAGATTGGTAAATATTTTTAACTATTTTATGTTATATATAAAATATTTCCTCATTAATGCATACTTATTATATTTTATATTTTTAGGACACTTTAAGTATCTGTCCCATCACATCAATTACAGAATCATATATCCCAGAATTAGAATTAAACTAACATAATGAACAAATGCTTATACTTTTATAGTATTTACATAATATTTATTAAGTGTTGTACATAGTCACATGTATTAAGTACTTTTCAATATTACCTTTAATTATTTTGTGCAGTTACCATTGCTATCTTTTTTACAATATTTTATATTTTTATATTTGTTTTAAAAATGAACTATAATACAAGTATTAATAGTGTAACACTATCCGTCCGCAAAATCTAGAATAAGATTGAAAAAATTGTGTTTTTGGCAAAATATAATTTTCTATCTAGGGAATTATGAAGCAGTAATAATACAGTCATGATTATATATTCTCAATTTTATAAAATGACTGTACTATGGAAGTAACTACTGATTAATGTTTCATTACAAAGAAAAGTTGTATTATTAAATTATTACTTCAAGTACTTTAATTATATTTTAGGTACATTTTCTGATTTTATTATTATATACATCGAATATTATATGTACATATAAACACTTTTTTTTATTTCATAGAATGTTTATAAGGTGATGATTGAATTTATATATTTACAACAGCTTTTCTTAAGAAATAATGTATAAGAAAATAAAATGATCTCAAGGTTAATATATGTATATATACGATATGGATTAACAGTATTTACTGTAAATTTGATTTATTGTTTTGTACTTAGAGTTAACTGTATGTGTTCTGTGTTATAAGTTTTGATATTGTACTTGGAATCCTAATACAGGATTTATTAAACCAAGATATTTTTGCACAAATTATAAAATCTATTTATTATTCTTTATTTATATAATATCCATTTTAGTATTAATATTAAAACCAAAATGAAATATATATGTTTTGTTTGTATATACCTACTATATGAGTAACTCTATGTGAATGTTCAATCAAACAGGGTAAAGTTGGAATGGAGGGGGTCCCCTCCTCACGAGGGGAAAAACCCTAGAGAACTCATGGAGCTTCTAATTTCGATACTCTTGAAATAGATCATAATATTTACATATGTTCATTCGTACTTTTAATTATTGAGTTTGTATAAATTTACTGAATATAAACAAATTATCATTAAAACATGAAACAAAAAAAGAAATAAAAGTTCTTTAATACGTTTGCATTGAATTTATATATTTTAAAGAAATAATACATTATAACGGTTCACAAGTATGGCTCGAATAATGTTTGTTGGTCTTGTAAATATACGAAATGTAATAAATGTCAGTAATATCAGTGCAGTTGGAGGTACTTTACATATTAGACAACATTCGGTAAGCCTAAATTATTATATTATTTAATTTATTTATGTCAATAAACATTCATCGGTATTTACATTATTTTTATAACCTATAAATTTACCATGATAGTATTATAATAACTTTAGGATGTCACATCTAAACCTGCGACTTCAATAGCTATTGAACTATCAAAACTTGTGGATTCTGATGAGGCAGTAAAAAAAGAAAAGAAACTCAATAAAGCTATGAAAATATATTTGCAGAGATGTAAAGATTATCGTAAGTTGCAATTTTATCATGCAAATGTGCGCAAATCTGACTAAAATATCGTTACCGATATAAAAATGAAAAAAATAACCAATTTACATTACCTGTTGTTAGGAAAATTTTTAGAAATAGAAATAATAAAATATGAAATTGGAAAACGACATTTAGCCAACATGATGGGTGAAGATCCTGATAAATTAACAGAAAAAAGTATTGCGGTAAGTTACATTCGTTTTATACAAAGAATAACTTTTTACCTATATATTTCAGATCTCTTTTAATAAAATAAAAAATTAACTCAATAAAATATTTACTATTGACATTTCACGATGATGTAAAAATGAACACATATATGACATATATTCTCAAATATTAATAAAATAGAAGTAACACAAAAAATTTTTTTTTTAATAACTAAATATAATAATTTTTATAGAATGCAATAAATTATTTGTTTCCTTCGGGTTTATATGATTGGAGAGCACGTCCTTTAATATCGGATCCAGTGAAAACATTTGGACAAAGCAAAGAAGCAGAATTCAATGATATGGGCAGACCATTTCATTTTTTCTATTATACTTGTAAAAAAAATTATTATGAAGTATTACATGTAAGTAACATTGTAAACCATTTATATCTTAATGTTTCATACAATGCTTTATGTATACAACGAATATTCTTAATTATAGAATATAGCAAACAATATGAAAATTTTAAATGAAAAGGAAGAACAAATGTGGGCGCAAAAAAAATTACCTACTTCTGAAAATAAAGTGTAAGTTATGATTCTTTCACTATATTTATTTTATTCTATTATGATAGTTAATATTTTTAATTATTTCAGAGATTTGTTAGGAACAGATTGGTGTGCTAAAAATGATGTGGAAAATATAATGAACGAAGAACTTGAAACAAATGAAGTAAGTATATAGTTTTACTTTTACTTTTTGGTTTTATAATATACTTCTTTTTGACTTGTTATATGTTTCTGTTCAATTTAGTATACCTATCTTATTAAATCTTTGGAAAGGCTGGCAGTACATCCAATGTCAAAGGATAACTTTGATTTCATTATGAAATTTAGAAAACCATTGAAAAATATTATAGGTGAACTTACACTTCCACCTGTATGTATTCTTATAATGATACATTATAAATCATTTTTTCAGTTTCAAGTAATATAATTTTTATTACAGATTGAATATGATAGCAATGGTAGACCTTTCATCGAAACCAATAGTGAGTATAAGAAAAAATATATTCATACCACACACACTGTAATAGTATACAGGGTGTTGTTGAAAAATAAGACCTTGATACTTTATTTAATGTTGCTTAATTATTTGGAAGGTATTTTTTATTTCATTTTAATCCCTATGTCATCTACTTTATAGATCATCTTTTTTCAAGGACTTTCTATGTAGTTAATTTATTTATAATATATTGTAGAAAGAAAGCAAATTGAACATGGAATCATAGTATATTTTTGTTTCATTTCAAATTTTGTATTATTCCTTAAAACATTTGTATGCATATCTAGGATAATCTATGTGTACAATTCTGTAAATTAAAATATGAACTATTAAATCTGTTAGTGGCAAACTAATTATATATAAATATAATTCCATTCAAATTTGTTTCTTTTAATTTCATTTGTTGGCTTTTATGAAATTATTTTAAGAGTTATCTATATTTTTCAGATTGCAAAAGAAAATCTTCAAGAGGAAATGTAAAGGTGATAGGCAAAGGATCTGGAAATATTACTATCAATGGACACGATATTACATACTTTGAGAGGATACTGCACCGTGAACAGGTAAGTTTTTATAGATATTTATATATCCTGTATTCTGACTATATTTACCTTTATCAATGAGCATGAAGATTTCTTAGTGTTATTTCATATTCTCTTTTAACCTTTATCGGTCCAGAAGTACTTTCAGTTTACTTACAGCCATATACAGAATATATAATTGACAAACGGAAGTAAATTATGAGAGAAATTACAAACTACAAGAGATTGATGTGCAACTTAATATGTTAAATGAAAATATAATAAAAATAACAAAATGATTTTTTACCCCAATATACGCAGTATTCAACATAATAAGTATATTGCATATATTGTGATATTAGTTCACTAAGTATTAATATCAATAGGTACACATTAAATTTGAAATATACCCCATTTTCTGTTTATTTAACCTAAGTTACTTCAAGAAAAATGAAAATTTATATGAAAAAATATTAACAGCCTGTTTTTCTATATACATATTATATTTATCAGTCCTGCACTTATCACATTTATTGGAAACACCATTATCAGTACCTCATAAAACGTTAATAGTTTGTACAAAATTAAAACCATACATATAAGGTATAATTATAATATAATTTTAACAGTACATTATAAGAATAATAACATTTAATCATAATAGTTGTTTATTGATTTTAATCATTTTCAATTCTGGAAGAAGTTTATTTCATTTTTGAACATAATGCGTGAATAATTACAAGTATTATTTCCGCAGAAGTAAAATTATATAATGAACTAATTATTTTTACAGTATATAAAAACTGAAAAATCAAAATAAAATTTATTAATGTAGTTACTTCAAGAACAAGGAGCAATAGGAAAACTGAAAATATATTCAATTTCATATTAGTATTCATCCTTAATGGACGGGTGGTTTTTTGTCTATTTTTTTCCAGTCCCGGGAATTCGTGAAGAAATTATATAAACCTGCAAACATGTCTTTAAATTATTGCTGATTTATTAAATTAGTATCATTATTAATACAATTTTGAGAAATCACTTATTTTCATTTCTAGTACTTGTCACTAATACTGTGTTTTACAAACCATTAAATTAACATGAAAACACATAAATCTACGTGTCCCGTCCGTTAAGTGTTAATATCCCATCTATATTTATATGTAGATTACTATAAATATTGTATATATTATACATTTTATTGTATATACAGTAGTATATACTGAACGTATGTATATAGTGTTATTAGCATTTTATTTCTCATAAATGTAAGGTGATTAGACACCTCAATTTTTCGAGGTTTATCTCTATTTTTGATTTGGTATCTCGATGCTCCCAAGATGCATTTCCTGGAATGTCCTGATTTTCAAATTATATTGATTATAATTATAATAATATTAACTATATTGAGATATTCATGATTTTCAGCACAAGTAATAGACAAAGAAATTTAATAAAAGCTCCCCTACTCTTGTGTTTTTCTTTTTTTCTTTTGTCTTTGCATCTTGTGTCTCGATTCTCAGTTGCGTTGGTATAGTCACGTTTCTTCTCTTTTTTATTAGTACATTTTTAAGAAAGAAAAATTAAGAAATTCATAAAACTATAGTTTTACTTCCTTTCAATTCTTTTTCGTGTGAGGAAACCAGTTTCTAGCTGCCGCGAACAATATTTTTTTTTTAATACAATCGATACTTCGACTATTTTGGACTAATATAATTTTTTAATAGCGCCTACAGTTTTGAAGTGAAAAAAGTTCGTAAAGTGGATATAATAGTGATTGTGCGATTTCTAACTAGTGTACGAACTTCGAGACCTCTCCGCCATCTTGTAACGGTACTTATGTTATGATAGTGAAAAAGAAATGATCTACACCTCTACTACATCTTGCGTCCTATGACAACAAAAATAAATCGACAAAGCTTGAAATTAAATGACGCAAATGAAATCAACAAGATACAAATTATTTGTATTTGTATTTCTATCACCCATTTTGAATCATCATACTTCTGATTTAACAATTTCATAAGGGATTCTTCAGAATAACGATTGACAATTACAAATCAATATACTGAGAAGAATCATTGTTTTATAGTCTATAAATCTGGTATACAGAAGTATTACCAATTGAAAATGTAAAACTTTATATCGTTCAAGGAAAATCGACATTATTGAACGAATGATTCGTCGCGATTCATTACGAAATACGCTGAAAGAGTGTACAAACTTAAAACGCTGAGAGAACGAAGATCGTAAGAATACGAGACTGTGCGAATTGTTAGTATTTCCTATGAACGCGATTTACCACGGTCTCTGCGATCTCAGGACAGACACCGTATGTGCAGAAAGCTCGATCCGAGCTCAGTGTTAATCGAGCCGCTCGATAGTACAACTGGCTTACGATGTTGTTATAAGACTGGTACTTTGTGTTCGATCAGATCAATAAACATCATCGCACGTGAGAAACACCGGAATTGGTTTCTTCATCGACGTTTTCTTTCGGTAACGAGATATCGTAAAACATTTATTTGTCGCATCGATCGTTGAATCCTTCGCATGACAATTACAAATAAAAGAGAACATAATGTAACTTGTCATTTTTTTCCGCTACAATTTCTTGGCTTGGTAATAGTAAAATGAAAAATTAAATTCTGTTGTAAATTTAATCGCGATGACGTTGAAAAGAGCGGTTGCTTTACCATTCGTTTCAAAAGTTTTGTGTTACGTAAATTATGTTTGTGCTTTTGAAAAAGGATATTGAAATTAGCAGTTCTTTTTTGATCTTGGTTTATCGGGCTGAAGGTGTTAAATGCGGATGCATGAATGTGGTACCGGTGTTTGAGTATTGTTTGCGTTTGTACGGAATTTTTTATAATAAGCAAATATTTTGCTTGTTTTTTTCTTGTTAATAAATTCGTTTCTGTTGGCCAGTTTCTGTGAATAATTCGTGGTGATTGAAAAGACACTTTTTAGAATTTCTTGAAATGATTGCTCGTTCGACAACAGCGTTAAAATGAATACAGCAACGTACTACGCAGACTAGAAAAATAAACTTTTCTTTTGGGTACAGAAATAGTGATCATCTCAAAATGTGTTTCATTAGTTTCGTGTTTCTTATTGCGATGTTTTTCGTTTCCTAATTGTTTGTTAAATTTAATTTTAAATTTCCGTGTATAATTTCGAAAAACCTTATTATTTTTTCTACTCAATAAAATAGAAAATTCTTTATAAATTCCGTTTCGAATTCTACATATTTTTTTGTATGACAGTCGAAAAACAGCGTTATCAAATTATTCGCACAGTATTCATATAAAAGGTTTAGAAAGTTTTTTACTCGTTATTTTAAGAATCTTTCGATAGTAATAGTCGAGCCTTATACGGATTTAAAAATCGTCAGGGAAGTACGTTGCTGCGACTGTAATCATTAAACTATGCGAAATATACGTAAACGTCATCTTACGCGTCTTTCTCGTGTTTCTAAAATCGTGTCTGTATGTCGAGAATGTTCTCGTCTTCGTACTTGAAGGACTCGAACTGTATATAAATAATATCAATTTAAAGGTAACGGCGCGGCACTTCACAGTTATCAATGTATGTGCCCGATTTTCCAATTGACATTCGCGCCTCACGCAATGCACCTCTGACCAGCCTCAGACGTCATCAACATTGTCTGTGTTCCTTCAGATTAAACAGTATCATCATTAGAAAGAAAAGTTTTATTTTTCGAATTGACAAAACATTATTTAGTAACAATTATCTAAATTACTTACTAAATTAACTGTTACTAATTATTAGCATCTTTATATCTACTTGCAAAATTTTCTAAAATAACTGTAACGTTACATCATATAAATCAGTGATACAATTCAATAATTATTACATTAATGATTATTAATAAATTTTATTGTTCAATAATTTTTTGAAACTATTCCTTAAATAATGTTTTCAACCTTTAAGGACAGTAATTTGTATATTTTTCCGATAGCCAAAGTGCAATATGAAAACGTTGCACTATTGTCTTTCAAAATGGAACGCATAAGATCATTGTCGTTATAACTGTTATAAAATATTTCTAAGAAACATTGTTCCATCGGATCGAACACAATTCCATTCTACCAACAATCTTGATTATTGGACATTTTTATTGATGGGGAATTTTCATTAAAGAGTGGAATACACGCGGAAGAAACTGACGAGTGAACCTTATCAGATCTCGAGCTTCCGTTCGGAGGCAGTTCGCAAGGCATTACCAGGTTTCCAGCGTGCAATTAGTACTCATAACGATATCTTTGTAGATCAATGATGTAACCACGTAAAGTACAAAGCGCGGAGGATGGCGAGTGATTCGGCGTCACCGACGCCGAAAAAAACTGTACTAATGGAACGGATCATCGACATGGAGGACGTGACGACCTCTCCTGTCCCGGCCACGCCGAAACGCACGACCTCGACGTCGTTGTTGCTGACGCGTTGGCTCGTGGCGAGAAACGCGTCTCGCTCGAAACCGGAAACGAGTTGGCCACCGAACGAACGGAGCCTGGATTACGGAACACCGCCGCCCATTGAGGAGCCGCACTGCTACTCCATGTGTCCCAGCGAGAGTTCCTGCACCGAGGAGATGAATTGCATGTTGCAGGTCAACAAAGACATAATCAGGAACCTCTTGACAGAGCATATGAGGAGCGTGGGCGGTCGGTTGCAGCTCCTAAGCGATCTAGAGACAGACAAGCTGGACTTGACCAGTTCTCAACGCGTCGAGAAATTCTACAAGCGCCACGAGATAAATACGCTCCTGTTGCACGCCAGTTTCATAGGTCGACTAGATCTTATGGCTAGTCTTCATGAAGCTGGGGCCGACTTAAATTATTCCGAGCAGGAGCAAGGTCTCTCCCCGTTGCACTTGTGTGCGTTTAACAATTCGCTGGAAGGGGTGCAATATCTGTTAAATAACGGAGCGATTATAAGTCTAGATCAAACTCATACGCCTTTCTACTATGCTGCTTTTGGTAATGCCCTGAAAGTCGCTCAGTACTTCCTCCAACTGGGTATCAGCCAGGAGTCACCTTGCGCGGAAGAGACCGTGCTACACGCGGCAGCCAGATCGAACGCTCTGGGCGTGCTGAAACTATTAGCGCCGCACAATCCGACTCTGAACAAGTTGGATTGTAACGGGTACGGCGTCATACACCACGCGGCGGACAGTGGAGATCCAGCTTGTTTAACGGTGCTCTTAAATGCCAGCTGCCAAATAGACTTGCCAACCAAAAAAGGCGATACTGCTTTGCACCTAGCCGCAGAGGCCGGTTGTATGGAGAACGTGGAAATTTTGATCGAAAGGGGCGCGAACGTCCACTTCAAAAACCACAGAGGCCAGACGGCATTGCACATAGCCGCTCGATCACAGTCGCTGGAGTGCGTAGAGCTGTTGCTGAAAAAGGGCGGCTGCGATCCTGATATCGAAGACAACGATGAGAGAACGGCCCTGCATCTTGCTCTAGGGAGGTCCTTGTTGGCTTACGATGTTACAGAATTCTTAATCAAATGGAGGGCGAACATCAATAAAACCGACAAGTACGGTTACACACCGCTCCACATCGCCGCGTTAAATGAATTATCTCAATGTGTCGATATCCTGATTCAACACGGAGCTGACCTAAGCGCGAGAACGAAGGGCGGCACTAGCGCTTTGTCCATTATCCTGCGCAAGACGCCGACATCTTTGAACGTCTTCAAACAGAGGCTGGACACCTCTATCACGCTTCATCAGCACGGATCAGCGGCAGGTGAAGTTGAGCTGAGGCTAGACTTCCATCCTCTGTTGATGCATCAGAAGCAGGGCGAGATCAGGTACCTGGGCACATTCGTGAAGGAAGGTTACAAGGAAATCCTAGAACATCCGCTCTGTCAGGCATTCCTCCATTTAAAGTGGCAGAAGATCCGCAAGTATTACGTGGGAAGACTGATTTTCTACCTGTTCTACGTCTTGATACTCACTGGCTGGGTGATGACCGCTCTCGCGCATAATTGTTACAACGAGTCGCATGGCCAGATGGACCCTACACAGCCACCGTTGTGCGCGAACACCACTGGCGTCAACGGATTCCTCTATAGACATCCTGCGGTCCTCGAAGTCGAATGGTACGCGTTAATGGTGCTGACCATTCTTGAAGCGATCCGCAAACTAACCAGCATACCGACATATCTGTCAGTCCGTCAGTTTTTCACCCAGGCGGAGAACATGGTAGAATGGTGCGTGATACTGAGTGTGTTTGCCACGTCTTTCATATACACCGGCAGGACTTATCCGTGGCAAAGCCACGTGGGAGCATTCGCGGTTCTATGCGGCTGGAGCAATTTGATGTTGATGATAGGCCAGTTACCCATATTCGGCGCGTACGTGGCCATGTTCACCAGCGTTCAAGCACAAGTCTTCAAGCTTTTATTAGCGTACGCTTGCCTCTTGGTAGGATTCACCGCTAGTTTCTGCGTGATATTCCCACGCTCGAAGTCCTTCAGCAGCCCGCACATCGGCTTGATCAAGGTCCTTGTGATGATGACTGGCGAACTGAATTTTGAGGATCTTTTTTTCCCCAGAGAAGAAGATGGCAAACCTACAGACGTGGGCGGAACCTCTTGGATACTGCTGCAGGTATCAGCTCAGTTGTCCTTCGTGCTGTTTCTTTTGTTCGTTACTATCGTTTTGATGAATCTTCTGGTTGGCATAGCTGTGCATGATATAAAAGGATTGCAGAAAACTGCGGGCCTAGCGAAACTCGTACGACAGACAAAATTAATTTATGACGTCGAGACCGCGCTTTTTTTGGGTCTGATGCCCAAACGGCTAACCAAGTTTTTGCGATGGACCGCTCTCCTGTTACCATCTCCCCTTAGGGCAGTTTTAACCGTCAGGCCACTTAATCCGAGGGAGACTAGGTTGCCGAGAGATTTATTGTCTGCAGCTCATAAGATAGCCAAGGAACGGAAGAACATGTGCAGCACGCTGTGCAGCAGGAAAAACACCAGCACCGCATACACCTATCTCAAGAGCGAGCCCTATTCGACGGTTAGGAGGAGACCTGCTGTAGAGAGCGAATGCACAGACGATTCCACGGTTCAAGGGGAGTTATCAATGCTGAAGCAAATTTGCAAAAGGAACCAAGAGCTTCTTCAGGATCTCTTGATGACGCTGATGGCGGACAAACGATACGGAACGAAGAAGGAAGAGGATAAGGTTAATTAAACGCGATCTTTCGTTCGTGGAATTCCGGCAAGTGTCGATGTATCGTGTGAATGATCTGAGTGCTTCCCAGATCGAAAATCACATGCATCGGGAACGGAAGAAATTGCGGCGTTCCGTCACGTGGCTCGTGTAGACCGTTGATCACAGACGATTGTAATTCCTCCGTGGTCGCTAGTTTTATTCTTATTCATCATTCGAACGCGACTGTTGCCTCTTTCCCGAAATCAGACGAAATTTTGCGAAAAAAAAATAGGAACGAGGCACGGCAGACTTTTAAACGTTGACCGAGTGTACCGTGCTTTGCATATCGCGCTTTATAAATTTCCGGGCGAAATTTGGCGGAGCGAGTATGTATAAATCATTCCGTACATATGAGTTAGAGAGGTTTACGTTTACCTGCGAATTCGTTTTGAGTTTTCACGATGAATTTCTTTGTATAATTTTAACCTGTCGATTCTTTTGTTGACCTTTATGGGGAATGTGCGCTGATAATACTTTAAGATTGATGGGGATAATTGAATAATTTACGATAATGTACAAATTTTCTTCGGTATACCTGAGAAATATTTTAATATTGTATGTTAAGAACTTGAATTCCGTCCAGGAAATAAATATTCAGGAGATCATGAAGTGGACCATGTAGAAATCGAATGTTTATAGAACGAGATAGAAAAATAGATATAATTATTATGTAATTTATTACAACGTACGCGGATTGTTATGAAAATAATTGAAGATTGTAAATATGACGCGATTAAATAGTGCAACTGATACATTTTATTTTTTTATCTGAGTGTACAAAGATATACAAATAAATCATTTTTTGCATATGCGTCAGATAATTTTTATATGCACAATTTTGTATGTACTAGTTTAAAAACAATTATCCTCATAGCAATATAAGGAATTCTTATATAAATAATTTATACTCGGAATACTTAATATACATGAAAAGTAAGAAACCGGATAAATTTTATAAAATCCCACTTATGCGATATTCCATTAAAGAATATTTACATATTTATATAACTTTACAAATATCTTTTTCTAAAACTATTGATAATTTATACATTTTATATTTTAATTCACAATAAATTCTAATATTAAACTTCATCCACACAGCTGAAATTTTTCTATGACTGCTATACATAATATTAAATAATAAACTGTATAATTATTTTAAAAAATGTATAAAAAAAATTATTTTAATATGATTCAGAATTCTAAAGTTAATTTAGAGGAAAGGTGCTTTAAATGCTTATTTAGATACTAAAACAATGATTTAACTCTATACAAAACGTAGTATGCAAATAGATAGCATATACTGTTCTGAATTATTATTTCGCCTTGAATAAACTATAGGAAGAAATAACATTCCTTTTTTTTCTGGAAATAATCACGCATAAAATAATAACAATTCTCCACTTGACCGTTCAAGGCAGTTCGTGTAAAAATAAATGTTCTTATTTTGGAAATGTTTCGCGATCCTTTTTCGTCTACGTGGCAGTTTCAAACGCTGCTTATTGCCCAATGATCTTACCTGTGCCTGGAGCGACAAAATTTCAATCATCCTAAACACGTTTCGTAAGATGTATACCTACCAAAGCGAAAAACAAAATGTCGAACGAAGGCGGAATGCAAATCGATGCTTGAATGAGATTTGCAAGATTTAACGGTTCTCACGGTTTATTTCC